AAACTGTCAGAATATATTACTATTTAGCAGTCTTAAGACTCAATGCTACTACTGCTAATAAATATTAATAAATCTTTATTTTTAAAGGAATCACATCTGTTTTCTTTTTAATTTTAACAGTAAACCTCTGTTGTGCAGCACTTTGTTTGCCAAAAAATAAAGGTTTAATTTTCATTATAAATTAAATAAATTTTTTATGCCTTCATCTGATTACCAGAAAAATTAAGAACATTTTATAGGGCCCTATTATTGTTTAAAAAAGGACCCTATACAAAAAAAAGAATAGGTTTAAAATACAGGCATGTGGTTCTTAATTTCTTTTTATTAATTCACCATTTGTAAACTGATATTTTACTGTTTTTTTTTAGAAAATCAATAGCATTTGTTTTACCGTTTTTTAAATATTTTTTAGAAATATCAATAGCATTTGTATTAAAACTATATTCACTGAATGTAATCAAAAAAATCGAGAATCGAATCGAGAGCTTGCGAATCGAAATCGAATCGAGACATCTGAATCGATACCCAGCCCTAATATATTTATATATATATATGACAAAACATTTACTAAAACTAACAAAGTTAACATTTAAAATTAAACACTACTTCAAAATTTGAATAAAAACTATAATATTATCTAATATACAAATACTATAATAGCATCTTAATAATACTAAAGTAATCCTGGATCTGCGTAGCTGTTCTCCATGAGCAATACGCAAATGTAGGGCGTCTTTATATCACTATCTTAAAAATCATCACTCAGCAGCATATAGTGCAATATCAAAAGTAAATAATGCTTTTTGGAGTGTATCTCCTTCTTATAATTTCATAACATTCATCATTCCACAACTTTGCAACATTATTTAACCTTAAGTAAAATTATCCACAATAAATACTGCAAATTACACTCTCTTCCATTCATCCTGGAAGTATTTACATGGCAATGCGGGAAATATTGTGGGCGGGGCCTGTGTGTTGTGATGACGCAAGCAGCGTTCTTATAACCCGCCATTTCTCTTTGCATTTTCCAGGCGTGCCAGACAGACCCCACAGTGCTTGGCTAGTGCTGTAGCGTTAGCTGCCACTTCAACCCATAAACATCTTAACCTAACAAAACACAGATCAGCTAGCAGTGCACCTAAATGCATCACTACATACAGCAAGTGATGCACTGAAATTAAATGCACTAATGTTAGCGCAAACACGTCATGATTAAGAGAGTTTTGAATTACACAGCCAAGTGTTATATTTTCGTGCACATTCTTTATGGCTAACTTAGTTAGCTGATAACTTATGCAGATTTTGTGTAGCCGCTAAATGCGCTAATGCACCTGGCTAACCCAGTAAACAATCAGTCAAGAAATGGCTTAATAAATAGAAAGGAGTTGTGTAAACTTATATATTAAATGAATTATTTCACCTGTCAAGAGGCGTTTGTAATAAAGGCAAACAGTAAATCTGACTACCAAGACAAGGCAGAAACGACTGAATCTGGCTAATAACATAGCGAGCTAAAGGCTACAGAAATAAAACACAACTACATGCACAAACACCACCGCCTTTAATACTAAATAATAACGTTCTCACCCGTGTTATAGACGTGCAGCTCATCCACAATGCCTTCGTTCCCTCCGCCGAATACTACCATCAGCTCTTTAATGGCCACAGCTCGGTGTCCGTGTCTCGGGCGAGGAACCGGGCCAGACCAGCCCAAAACCCTCTTCCAGCGCGGCTGCAGAACTGAGGTCCCCGAAGAAGCCATGTCCACTTCTCTAGCGAGACACAAATCCCAGGCACAGCGCTGATTTTAGTTCGGATTCCAACAGCATTCGTGTGTTAAAAGCTCTGTGCTAACTGGATTAGCCCGCTAGTACCAGATAGCTTCGCTCCAGCTAACGTAACTAGGTCACCAAAACACGCTCGACTTCCACGCGTTTGTTTTAGGCCAAATGCTCCCCGAAAAGCACCAAAAGACTGCGTTATAGGAAATATTAGCGTTTACGCGCGTCGAAATTCGAAAAGCATAGAGCGTGGAAAAAACGTCGGCCGGTTAGCATGTTAGCCGCTCAAATCTGCGCGAACCGCCATTTTAGCGGCAAAAGACGCTTTTCATCACGAGAAGAAAGTAAATAAGACGGACGCCGGCGGCTGAGCAAACGCGAATTCCCGGCGAAATGAAGGACGGTAACTCGAAATACACAGCGTCACGTGCAGGTGGGCTCCTGCGCATTTTTTCTTAAATATCCTTATAGTGGGCGAAACCGCATTTTTTTTGAGTTAACGTTAAATGTCTCTTGGAGAAAAAGAAAAGCGCGATGAAGATGTGTACGCAGCCATCTTGCAGAGGCTAGCTAAACGCTACCAGCACGAGCGCCTAGTTAGCTGCTAAGCGGCTAAGCTAACACATACAAGCTAGTGAATAGAAATGGGCGGCGGAGGCAAAAAAAAAAAGAATGGGCGGCGTGAAGGAAATCATAATAATAAACAGAAAAGGGAGTTGGAAAAAATATAAACAAAGAAAATCAATCTAAAACACTCAAAGCAGGGAACAGGCATGTGCAGTGGGGGAAAAAATAAATACAAATAAAAAAAATGGTCGGCGAACCGAACACAATATCAGCTTTCGTTGAATTTAGTATTACGGAAATCGTATTATAATACTAAATCCGTCAATGAAACCCCGCCGGTAAAATGTGTTAAAGGCTTACAAAATTAAAGTGCGCGTTAAAATAAATGCGGATAGAGGTATTTAGTCTAGGTTCATGTGATATGAGGATTTTCCATGCCTCTCTTGTCTGGGTGCCGCCATCTTGATAAACAAACCAAACAATCCCAAATGAAGCTTAGCGCTTTTTAGTGATCCGAATGCCTATGTATATTTATAAACAAATATACAATAAAACTCTTCAAATACCGTTTTCTCCCTACAAAACAGCGCTGACAAGACTAAAAAGGAACTTACATTTGCTGTTGTTAGCTATTAGCCGCATTAGTTAGCTGAAATGTTCAATGAGATCCATTGGGCAGCCAGTTAGCTTCAATGCAAAACAGCTCATTACAACACAGGAAATTCTACATACTCGTTTGGCACAACAGAGAAAATGTTACACGTCTCAAGTTTATTTACTGTTAAAATTGCAGGTGTGATTTTTATTCGAGATGCACAGTTCAGTAACTTCTGTTATTGTTTCGTCCCTGGCTTAGCTTAGCTTCCCTCAAGAAAAATGGCGGATGTACCGTTAGCAGTCATAGAGAAAGCTGAAAGAAAAAAAAAATCGGATTCTGTCATTGCCTGACACCAAATACTTACTCGTTCCGATTCGTTAACTTAATTTAAAAATCACGAGAGAGGACTCAGAGAACGAATTCGACCCTGGGTGCGCCTTTCACTGTAGATATAGCTAACTCTACATCTTTTCATGCAGCCCTGGAAGCCGCCATCTTCTTGACAAGCGCTCAATAATTCAGCAGCGGCGCGTTTCCGCACAGAACATCACATTCTTATTGTATGCGCTCAGATATTTTCTGGGCAGATATGACTTATTGGTTTGGAAACAAGGGTCCAATCACTGCCTACTTTTTTTTCTGGAAACCATATTGTGTTTGGAATGTTGTTGGATGACAGAAGGCATAATATATTCATTTATGTAATGTTGATTCTTTATCCATAAATTTGCTGGAATGATAAGAGACGTTTGGAAGATGAATGAAAGCTTAGTAAATGTGTTCATTTCCCGCCAATTTTATTGGTGTGCTATGCTTTATTATTTATTTATTACAAAAAAACAAGCAAGCCTAGCCCAGGAGACAAAAAGTAACGCAAATGTACCGTAAAGCATTACTTTCCATAAAGAGTAACCAAGTAACGCAATTAGTTACATTTTATGGAGTAACGCAATATTATAATGCATTACTTTTAAAAGTATATTACTTTATATATATATATATATATATATACGGTATATATGTGTGTGTGTGAATGTAAAGGTTTGCTAAAATAATTAGGTTATTATATGTTTTTGTTTTAAAGTGTTTGGAAGGTTCTAAAGTTAAAGCTTTAACTTTTATTTCATGTCCATCATTTTAAAGTTAATCCTTCAATGACCCTGTTGTCTCCTTGTTGAACAAAAACACTAACTTTACAATTGGGATTTTGGAATTAACGGCACAATAAATATTTATTTCACTTTGTTTAGATTATCATAGTTTTACATTTGTAATAATAGTTTGATATTTAAAGTTTGGGCTCTTTTTGAAAAGTATCAAAAATAAATTACGAAGGCATAGTAAAGGAAGGTTTTTCTTTTTTTTGTGATCTCCATATAATAAACATATAAAAAGGTGGAGATATTTTAGCATTAATAACTAAACATAGTGGGGGACACCCATTACAGAATATACAGAAATCATGTAAAATATATTTTTATTATGTAACAGAATCCATGGTTAACATGGTAATTTCTCCTGTAACTCTACCATCTCCAATTTTTATGAATGAAATAAAGAAATCGAATAATAATGAATCTGCTAATCATATAATTCATGTAAATATGATATGCTTATAAAACACTCCACTGCCAATAAACAAGAGTTGTATTTCATTCACACAAATAAATGACCCAAACTGAACTGTTTTTTTTTTCTTTCTAAGGAGCAGATTAAATAGTTGCATCTGATAACAATTTTTCATGTTATTACATTTAATAACTAAACATAGTGGGGGACACCCATTACAGAATATACAGAAATCATGTAAATATATTTTTATTATGTAACAGAATCCATGGTTAACATGGTAATTTCTCCTGTAACTCTACCATCTCCAATTTTTATGAATGAAATAAAGAAATCGAATAATAATGAATCTGCTAATCATATAATTCATGTAAATATGATATGCTTATAAAACACTCCACTGCCAATAAACAAGAGTTGTATTTCATTCACACAAATAAATGACCCAAACTGAACTGTTTTTTTTTTTCTTTCTAAGGAGCAGATTAAATAGTTGCATCTGATAACAATTTTTCAAGTTATTACATTACAGTGTAAGTCAGTGTATACAGAAACTTTATACAAAAAGTAAAGGGCTGATTGTAGAAATCTGTAAAATTGCTGTTACATAATGAAAATCGCACAGGCTAAATGTTTAATTCAATTTTTATAACAATCACAAGTTAGTATCATAGAAACAGATTAGTCATTAATGTTAAATAGTACTCTTAAATGAACTTTTCCACGACATTCTAATTTATTGAGATGCACCTGTAGGTGTTTAATAATCCAAAAACTTGACTTTGTCATAAAAAAACAAAAACATGTCGCTGAGAACTAAGCCAAAAACAACAAGCAAACAGACAGACATTGGATCGCCAAAACAACAGGCGTATAACAATAAATTATGCACTTTTATATTTCTTTGGCTTGTCAGTCAAGATTCACAGGTTCACAAATACAGAGCTTTCTTCATCCGTACCACTTTTTATTAATCTGCAGCTTTGGCCGAGGTATTTATCAAGGCATTTTCTCTACCATAACCGTAAAAAAAAGTACCATAAAGATATCTGTGGATATTTCATGTAATATTTTAACAACATATTTGCTGGGTCCCAAACATCCAGTGCTAAACTGCAGCAGGCGACTGCATGTTGATTCCAGATGTCTCGCATGCAAACTCATCACTCTCTTCTGGCTCCCTTGTTTCAGTATTCATCCCTCGGTCTACAAAATATTGAAAAAGCATAAATATATTCTTTTGATTCAAACAAACAATCACAGAAATTTAGTGTCGACACATTTTGTTTTGAAAATGACAGTTTTCACCTGAGATTTGGAGCCACATTAGAGGGGTGTAAAAATGGCTTTAGAAAGCTGGCAGCACCATTATTTGATTTTTACACAGAGAGTGGTAGGTCTATTAGTAAAATCTGTTGACTTTAGCAATTTTTGTTTCATTATATGCCAACAGTGACAGTTCAAAAATGGCAAAAAGCACTTCTTGTGTTTTTTGCCTCAAGTTTGCAGCATGCCTGTAACTGAAGAAGCATTGAAGATATATTAATATAATCTTTTAGGTTCTGGTTCTTAACAAACCTTCCTTTTGTTATCTTCATTTTAAAGGCCCTTGATGGTTCAATCCCAGAGATATGGAGATCTTAATGCGGCTCCATAAGTAAATTGTTCACATTTTCTGTGGTCAAAAACACACTATTAACATAATTGCATAGAACACACCTGTCTGCGTGCCATAAATATTCTTTTTCCAAATGTGTCATATCTGTAACTCTAAAAGTATTCAAGATATCTTAATATCCTTCTAGATTCTCATTCTCAATAAACTTTTCTGTTGGAATCACAATAATGTACAGTATTTTAAAAATAATGTGTTTTTTGAACATTAAAGCATGTCAGCATATTCTGTTACACCAAATACACAAAATAATGATCTTTAAAAAAGCATCATATGACCCCTTTAAGGCATGGTTTATCCCTATAGATACTGGGACCCCAATGTAACGCCATGTCAAAATTTTTGAATTTTACCCATTTTCAAAGGTCATTAACCAAATGTAGACAACTTTTTAAACAGCTGATCGTTATTGTGTTTAAAGAGGAATGTCTGAAGAACAAATAATACAAAAAACATTTTTCCTTAGTTTACAAGTCTTTCATTTAAGAAATGTTAAAGATATCGTAATGTCATTTTAGATTATTTTACTCTTATCAAACTTTTCTTTTGGAGTCTTCATTTTTAAGGCCCTATATGGTTCAGTATTGTAGATATATATATATATATATATATATAAAACATTTCTGTCCCCCTCACTTCTGAAATGATGGCTACGCCCCTGAGTTACAATACTGTGTATTTGAATTCTTGGTAGCTTCAGAAGCTGTTAAAACGAACAAAATCCCATCTTCCAACTATCCCTAAAACTGAGTCAAATATAGATTATTATAAATACGCCTTTGAGAGCAAGTTATTGTGCCTCAACTTACTCAGGAGTTGTTTTATGCAATTCTTTTGATCGAAGGAAACCAGATACATTTCTAGTTTAAACATTATTTATTCTTCAGACATTCCTCTTTAAATGCAGTGAGTATCAGCTGTGTGCAAAGTAAACCACATTTGGTTTTCGACCACTGAAAATGGGTAAAATTCAACAATTTGAACATGGAGCTGCTTTGAAATCGCCATATCTATGGGAATGAACTATATGTGGCCTTGAAAATTAAGATTTCTAAAGGAAAGTTTATTAATAATGAGAATCTAGAAGGATATTAAGATATCTTGAATACTTTTAGAGTTATAGGCATGCAAACTTTGGAAAAATAATATTTATGGAACGCAGACAGGTGTGTTCTATGCAATTGTGATAATAGAATATCACAAGATACATTTCTAGTTTCAACATTATTTGTTCTTCAAATATTCCTCTTTAAAAGAAAAGAAGTATCAGCTGTATGCAAAGTGACCCACATTTGG